GTAGTTGTAGTAGTAGTAGTAGTAGTAGTAGTAGTGGTGGTGGTGGTGGTGGTGGTGGTAGTAGTAGTAGTAGTAGTAGTAGTAGTAGTGGTAGTAGTGGTAGTAGGAGGAGGAGGAGGAGGGGAGGAGGAGGAGGAGGGGGTTGGAGATAGGGGGAGGAGGAGGAGGATGGGGAGGAGGAGGAAGAGGAGGAGGAGGAGGAGGGTGGCGATTTCGATGTGAAGCAATGGTAATGCGCGGGGGATCAGAGGTGGTTCGTCTTCAGGAGGTGGTGCTGCACTAGCTGCCAGCTCCTGCTCTCGGCCGCTTGAGTCCCTGCTGCTTGGGGTGCCGCTGCCTCACCGCCCTTACAGCATCCCTTCCTCCTTGGCTCTTCCTCCTTCCCTTCCCCCCCTCTTCCCCTACCCCCCTCATCTCCTTTCTCTCCTCCTCTTTCGCTTTCCCTGTCCCCGTTGCTCGGTGCTGCTTGTGTGCACCCCGCGCGTGGCCTGCGAGGCCGAGATGTTTTTATACACCAGTCTCAGTACGAGGGAAGGAAGACCGGCGACCGCGTCACGTTCAAGGTGCAGGCGCCCCTGTCAGCGGCGACCCGTTTTCCTTGGTGAGGGCCGTGGACTGGTAGTTTGACGCGATTGTTGTTGGGAGCGTGCCTGAAGCATCATTGCATGGCGTCCGGTGGTGAGGCGCGCGGAGGTCCCGAAGTTAGGTTAGCTACGTCGTACAGGGCACATCTGCCACCCACTCTGCGCTGGCGACGAACGGTGTCAATCTGGGCGGAAGTTGATCGCCTTCTTGTTGAGCGGAGGTGACGGAGGTGAGAAGTTGAATGCTCGGTTCCCGATATGCTGCTGCCGCATATGATGGGGGAACAGTGGTATCAGAAAACGTCTGAATGATCTTTGTCATAGCCCCGCAGACGCAGATAGGAGTGGGGCTGTTCGGGCATCTAGGAGCTTACGGCCAAGATTGAAGCTTGTCGACGGTGCATTGTTCCTCAAACAGTGCTTGCACTACGGGGTTATTGCTAATTGCATTCGGCCCATCCCGCCACCTTGCCTGGATTGTGAGTCCGAGTCCTCAGGGCTGCTTTTTGGGGTCTCTTCGGAGCGCTCTCGGGTGTCTCTTGGGGGCAGTTTTGGGCCTCTTGGTGGCCTCCTGGGAGTCTCTTGGGAGCCTCTGGGGGGCCTCTTGGGGCTTCCTGGGGGCCTCTTGGGGCCTCTTGGTGCCTCCCGGGGCCGAGGGTTCGAACTATCCGTCTCCGTCTGGGCCCTCTTTTCGAGCTGTTTTGGGCATCTTGGGCCGTCTTGGACCGTCTTCGTGCCCTTTTGGGCAGTATGGGGCCGTATTGGAGGCCTATTTGCCGTCTCGGGGCGATCTTGGCGCCTCTTGGGCCGTCTTTTAGCACCGAGAAGCCGAACAGGCGAGAACGCCAAAATCCTTCAAGAACCCATTTAAAATCCACATTGTTTTGCCTCTTGAGGGCCTTTTAGGATGCCTCTTGAAGGCCTCTTGGGGCGTCTTGGAGCCCTCTTGGGCGTTCGGAGGCCATCTTGGGCGTCTTGGACCGATCGTTCGGTGACTCGGGGTCCTCTCGGACCGCTTTGGGGGGCTCTTGGGGCGCTGTTGGCCCGTCAGGGGCCCTTCGAGGGCTTAACAAGTCATGCGACACTCTGAAGGAGGCTGGGCAAAGGCGAGATGTATCGAGCGTTTGTCCGCGGCCATTTCGGCCCAGTGACCTGCCACCCATGTGACCGTGCCTCTCTGAGGCGCACTACCATACGTCGAGCCCGACAAGGCATCATCTTTTTCGCTTGAGATTTACCGCCGCTCCCGCGGCCCACTCGTACTTCTGGGACTAACGTTGATACGGTACACCAGGGATGGACGCATGCTTCGCCTTAGGCGAAGCATCTGTTTGGGCCTCCCGACCAGCTTCAAACTTGGTAGCGGAGCTGGCCGTTGGTGGTTAGATCTAGCTAGCTCTACTCCTCACTATTCCACGGCGCAATCTGGTGGACTACCGACATGCTGGAACATCAGGGTGAAGTGGCTCTACGCGGAAGAATTCTCTACCATCGCCAGGACTTTTGCAGTGCTGCCTCTGCTTACGTGGAGGTCTCCTACTAGAGCCCTACCTCTCTGTGTTACGACATTCCTGAAGTCCACCCACTTTTGCCAATCGGCAATTTCGTCGAAGATACTGTGTATGGTAACGTGCGATACGATATTGTGCCGCCTCCACCCCCACGCAAGCTGACGGCAACGTCGCCTCACAAACAACAGCCATATACAACCGATTCTGACCTACGAGGCCATTGGATTGGCATCGCTATCTTTGGTCTTCTATGGGTCGCCATCGGATGTGCTGTTGGACATATGCAGCGTGGTGGAGACGACACGCGTACTACTGGCCCCCAGTGGGACCCAGCCGGTAATGTACCTCTCCGCGCCGCGTAGCTTGCCCTACACAGCTTGCACCCCCCACAGTTGCACCACGCCGAGTTCGAGCCACGCGGCTCATTCCACGTAGCTTGCGCCGCGTAGCTTGCCCTCCACAGTTTGCCCTGCACAGCTTGCCCCCCCACATAGCTTGCACCATGCAGAGTTCGAGCCACGCAGCTCACGCCACGTAGCTTGCGCCGCGTAGGCCCTACACAGCTTGCACCACATGGCTTGCCCCCGCCGAGCCCTGCGGGAGCCCAGTGCCACAGGCCCGTGAGCAGTGAACACGGGTGTGCGGGAAGACGGAGACAAAAAGCTTGCGCCACAGAGGTTGCACCACATGCTTGCGCATCCACAGTTCGCGACGCCACTTTTCGGGGACCTCCTGGCGAACATCTCCCTTCAACATGCACGGATGAGTAGAAGATGTGCCCGCCTCAGGCGTTCATTGTCCTTGCAGTGCGTTTCTGCGCTGCGGGTGCCCCCCCCGCGCCCTGGGGCCCTGCCCTGCGGCCACGGGCCCTGGACCTCTGGCAGCCCCCCCCGTGCCCCCGCGAAGCCACGCCCCTCCCCGACTGGGCCAGACTGCCCCCCCCCCCCGTACCAAGTTCGAAATTCCGACCACAACGCGAGCCCGCCGCACGCGCCGCGTTCTCGCGGGGTGCACGCAGCTCCTGACCACGGCGAAGGGACCCACAGACGGGCTGCACTGTTTGTGTTTGATCCACCATCCCTCAGGCTGAGCTCCTGGGCCGCCCGCTCCCACCCTCGACTCTGCGGGCCTCCAAGGCGGGCACACGGGCCCTGGGTCCACGCAACAGGCCACCCGAGCCGGGCCTTTGCCCGCCCTCCCCTCGTCCTTTTCCCAGCGAGGAGAAGAAGAAAAACGCGACGACGTTCGATGACCCCGAAACAGCCAACACGTTCGCGACCCTCACTGTGGTTTTTTGGGGTCAGCTAGTGCTGGGGCATCTTGAATGCCTCCTGCCTTCTGTGGAGCACAAGGGGTGGCGGATCTTGAGGCTTCGCCGCAACCATGATGCTCAGAGCTCGCTATCAGTTCATGCTGTGGAGCCGTCTCCCTCGCTCACCCTGTCCCCCCCCGCGCTTCCTCGGAGATCGTGGTCTCTGGCTTGCGCGCAAGTCCTCGCGCATATCGACTGCATGCGTTGGTTGATGGCGTGTGGGGCTCCTGGAGGCCTCTCGTGAGCATGGCGAATGGTGTGAATCGTGGCTTGACCTGGGTGAGACATCGCAAGAGCGCACCAACCATGGATCTTTGAGGGCCTCATAGATTTTGCCACGGGCCTGAGTACCACTCCGCTCCGCTGGAGGCACCACGCTCTGTGGTCACTGTTGCAGCAGCGAGCGACATCTGCCACCACGGCCCTGAGCCCCGAGGAAGGAGGGGAGCCACTGACGGCATCGTGGCCCCCATTTCGCCGAGCTGCGCCCGAGCTGCGCGCAGGCGCTGGTGCCCACAGGCGGGCGCGGCTCGCCAGTTGGCGGAGTCAGACCCGCCTCTCCAGACGGCGTCGAGTCCAGCTGGGCCAGCACGGCCAGCGCACAGACCCCTCCGATTGCGCAGCTTTGTCCGGTCGGTCCAGATTGCAACCCTCAGACGGCGCATTTAGCCAGTTAGGCCAGATTTTGGTCGGTCGTTGAAAGTAGGTATTTTTGGATGCCCAGATCCCACTCTATTTTATGCGCCTTCCTACTTCAAGAATCGATGTGCTTTTGCTGTGCTCTGCCATTCTGTGGGAGGGCCTGGACCCAATCTAAAATCAGCCTTCCCACTTCATATTTTTACATACTTCTTCCGACCGACGTGTATCCCTGGAGAAATGCGCACGGTATCCTTTCGCGCGTGTGCGATTCCCGAGGTCGTCTTGCCCCTCGCTGGGGTTTAAGGTGCATTCGGGAGCATGCTAAGGCGTTGCCCTTTCTGTCGTAGTGCTCCGATGACTTGGGGCCGTGGGCAGGAGGAGTAGGCTCATGTTCCCCCCCCTGAGGTATCTTCCTCCGCGTTCGTAACATTCCTGCTTTTGGCCGACTGGGCCAGATGTCCCTCAAGGCGAACTCGATGCTCTGGCGCGGCGGGTCTCATCAGCAAGCGCGCCCTCCCCACGTCGTTTCCCCTCACTCTTCCTCTCCCCTTCTCTCATGTACCAACTCAGAGATGCGGGTTCGTGTCGTGTCGACGCGGCTGCAACCCCAGCGGGGGCGTTCAAGGTTGAACGCCGCCAGTGGCCCAGAATCGACCAGTATGGAATGGTCAGTCGATCGAAACGCCTCCGATCGCTCAAGGTTTCAGGATCCACGCGGTGTCAGAGACCACCGCGGATGGCATCAAGACACGAACCCGCCGTACATTAATCCAGTCGGTGTACCGAAGTCCGCATATTCAGCTGCTTGCGGCAAGCTCCGCCACCGTGCCAGCGCAGCAAGTGCATAGGCGCAGCAGCAATGAGGTTTACTCCCAAGTTTAGACAGGGCGCTGAACTCGGGCGGGTCTTGAGTACCCTCTCTTTGCCCGTAGTCTCGTTTTTATTTTTTCTTACTCGTCGCTCCTCCGGGGCTTCTTGAGGGCCTTCGAGCCGTCAGGGAGTCTTTGGTGGTCTATTGGGGGTTTCTTGGAGGCGTCCCTGTGGCATCGCGGGAATCTTGTGCCTCTCGGCGACCTCTGTGGGGCTCTCGGGGGTTTGGAAGCGGCCTTCGAGGCATTGTTGGGTTCTTGGCCAGCTTGATGTTCCTTGTCGTGGGCCTCGTATTTGGGGCTTTGGGTCTCTCGGTGCCATCTTGGGGGCCTCGTGAGCACTCTTGGGGCCCTCTTGGGTTGTATTACAACCTCATCGGCCTGTCTTGGAACCCTCAGGGGTGTCTTTGGGCCCTCTTGAGGCCCTCTTGGGCTGTCTTGCAGTCTTCTTCAAAACCTTCTAGAGCGTCTTGGGCACTTAGAAGCCTGAGAAAATCAGCATGTTAGCATCTTGTGGGTTGGTTTTGCCTCTCGAGAGCCTCTTGGGCATCCTTTCGGAGTCCTCATGAGACGCTTTGGTGGCCTGCTAGGCCGTCTTGAAGCCATCGTGGGCCATATTGAGACCCTCATGGACCGTCTCGAGGCATTCTTGAGCAGCCTTGGGGTGATATTGGGGCGACATTTGCTGTCTTGGAATGGTGCTTGGCTGTCTTGCAGCTGTCTGGAGACTGCAGACAAGCGCCAGAGAGCAAATCCAGAGGGGGTGGAATTCAAACGATGCGCGCGAGGGGAGGGAGGTCGTCCCTACAAAACACGGACAGTGGCCTTACGGCAGGTTCGCGTCGTGTCTACTGACGGCGACCCCTTCGCGGGCGTTCAAGGTTGAACGCCGCCAGTGGCCCAGAATCCACCAATATGGAGGGATCTGGCGATCGAGAAGCCGCCGATTTTTGAAGCTTGAACGATCGACGCGGTGTCATTCACCAACGCCGGGGTCGACACAACACGAACCTTCAATGCAAGTACGGTGGCGAATCCCCCAGTCCCTCACGCTGCCACCGCCTCCCTGCGACCACGCGCGCCGCCTGCTCCCCAGCGCGAGGTGGTGAAGGGCCAGCCGCAGGCGCGCGACGTGGCGCTCAGCCAAGAAGGACCGGTGGGCGCTCCTCCTCCTCCTCCTCCCGTTCCTCCTGTTCCTCCTCCTCCTCCTTCCTCCTTCCTCCTCCTCCTGTTCCTCCTGTTCCTCCTCCTTCTCCTTCTTTCGTTGGCGACCGCAGGTCGCCAACGAAAGATGTCCTTGCGCTGCTGTGACATCAGTGCTTTCACGCGAATCTGCTTCCGTATCGCATGTTTTAGGCCACGGCCTCCACGCCATGCCCTGATGGGCAAAGGCGCGCTCCCTCGCGGGGCGCGCACGACTGCGGCGATCTTTCGTTCGGCCTCAGATGAGCAGCTCACTCGAGGCGTTCAGGGTCAACGTTAAAGGGGTGATAGGCTCAGGGGGGGGGGAATGTGTCGACCCCCTTGCTATGTAGATCACTGCTGACACACTGTCTGAAGACAAGCAAGTAGTGTGTCAGCAGTGACTTGCACTCATCTGCAAAAACGCTCGTCTGCAAGAAGGGTGCCAGCAGCGATCTACATGGCAGGTCTCGACCCCCACTCGCCCACGCATCGCCGGCATGGGGGCCCAGTAGCCCACCCCGCTCAGGAACGTGCGGACTCGCTATCGGGGGCCCATTGCCAATGTATCGGTGATGTATCGCCGATTCTAGTTTTAAGTCTGGGATGTCCCTCTACAGAAGGAATTTCCAAGAATTGTAGAAATTGTCTGGTGACGTTTTATCGTGCTTTATGTTTTTGTTTTTGTTGTTGTTGCTGCTATCGCGAAGGCCTTACGGCCTGCTTGTTGTTTGTTTTGCTCAAGCCACTTTGGCTCAAGAGAATGTGGGATCGCTCAGAAAGCCATTGTATATCTGCACGAGCTCGCATTTCTGGTGCACCCCTCACCAGACATCACATTTCTGTCACATTTGTACCTCTTGCGACAATCGCTACAATGGAAAATGCTCATGATATTGCTACCCCAAAGTCCCGGACCCGTGTACCAGGTTTCCCTGTCGGCCACTTGTTCAAGGACGGCCTCCAGGAGAACGATCCGTGGGCGAACATGGCAAAGAAGCAGCGCTCCGGCCATGGCCCCGACTCCCCGTACACCCCACTCCTGAGCGGTGCGCAGGACCACGAGGGGTTGGGGACCCGGGAGGCGTTATCCGCCAGCCAGACTTCGGCGAGGCTATGGCGGCCGAGGCTGAGCCGGTGACAATGGCTGGCATTGCGGCACTCCTTCAGCAACAACTCGCTCCAGTTACCAACGTTGTGCCGGACCTCAAGCAGAAGTTCGGGACCCTCGAGGGCAAGGTCGGGAACCTAACAGCGACCCTCGACAGCCGATCGGGGGACGTGGAGGCGAGTATCATCTCCACATGCATGCGCGTCGAGTAGCTGGAGAACATGTGCGAGACGATGGCGCAGAAGATTCCGAGAGGGGACGCGTTCGAGATGAAGGCCCAGTAGTACATCAAGGAGGCACTCTCGAACCCCACCCTCAAAAGCACGGCCTCTTCACCCCACGCGCTCGTGACCAAGCGGTCCGTGAGCATGGTCATTGGCAATTTGGACGGCTTGGGGGACCTTGACACGTCGATCCAGTGGCTGACGGAGCGCCTCACGGCTTTGTCATCACCAGCCCCCTCCAGGGTCTATTCGAAGGGCGTGTCCAAGGGTATTCTGTTTGCCGAGTTTGGCCCGAGTTTGACTCGCGTGGCCATGCTGTCGAGACCCTCCGTGCCAGCGCCTCCGCCAACGGCGACAAGAAATTGTGGGGTAGCGAGGATCGCTCTCCAGCGGACTGGGCGGCCCGCAACTTCTGCCTTGGCTTTAAGCGGGTCCTGAAGCAGGAGTTCGACGTGCCGTGCGTCGTGAACGTGTCGGACGGGGACCCCTAAGAGGTGAGCGTCGGTGGCGAGCACGCGTTGACGGCGACCGTGAAGGGCCACGACGTTGAGTATCACTGGCGCGGCGAGTGGGCGACGTGGGCAGAATTGCACGCCAACCCCCTCATCAAGGACCTTGCGAACAAATCGGCGGATCTGTTCGCCCGCGCCGGCCAGGACATGAAGGGCCACACCAGAAGGGACGGGCAAGGGCAGCAAACCCCACTAGGATGCACAGCACACGGGCAGAGATTCACCAGCAGCGTTCGGCAATACTGCAACTATAAGCCGCCATCGTTTGAGAATTCACGAATGCACGAACGACGAAGTTTCACCCACAGTCGGTACTACTGTGGAACAGCCTCTACTCAACCGTGCAGGACAGGCGCGTGTCTTCCGCGGAGGTCGCCTCAGGCCCTGCTCGCGGCAGCTATGGGTGGCCACCTAGAGCGTTGACGGCTTCGCCGGCGCGAAAGAGGCCGAACTCGACTGGCGCATGCACCAACATAGACTTGACATTCTGTGCATGCAAGAGACTCGCAGGGACATCTCAGAGTACTATATATCAGACAGCGGCTACGTGTTCATTTTCTCCGGGGCCGCGGACGAGGAGGAAAAGGAGGCGGCGGGCGTTGGCTTCGTCATCTCCTTGTGGCTGCGCTCGACTGTTATCGGGTTCAGGCAAAAGACGGCAATAATGGCGCGCGTGAAGTTGCGGTTGCTAGACGGGGAAGCGATAGTCGGAAGCGCGCGCGCCTCACAACAGGAAGAGATTCGAGGATAGGCAACACTTCTTCACCACTCTCGGGACTTTCCTTTCGCAGACGTCACCGCACGGTCCAATGATTTGGCATGGGAACTTTAACGCGCGCCTGCACAGTCGCCACCCTCAAGAAGAGCATGCCATGGGGCCGTGCGTGTCTGGGCATTCGCAAGCTGAGCGCAGCGCCGCTTCCAACCGCAGCTCGTTGGTGGAGTTGAGTGACACCGCGAGCTCTGCGTCGGCAGCGCCATGTTCGATGAACCAGCACATCGCCAAGCCACCTGTAACGGCGTGGGCAAGAAACCATCCGACCCGGCCATCCTGGACAATTCCGGCCAGATCGATGTCGTCCTGGTTTCGCAGAGTTGGCCTGCACATTTGCAGTCGGTGGCAAGCAGCGAGGATCTGGCATTGGCGTCCCGCCAATTCCATGTGCAGGCGGACATGGACATCATGGTCCCAATCGCCGCGAGCAGCCGCCCCGGCCAGACCTGCGGGCGCTCTGGCTGCCGCAACATGCCGACCGTTTCGCCGCGGCTTTTGCCGACGAGATGGAGGCCGCGGACGTTGGCGACGCCGCCGTCGACGACGTCGACGCTGCCGCCGTGGCCTCTTTCAAACAGGCGGTCGCCGCATTGCATCGTGTGCCGCGGGCGCCGCGGAAGCCGTGGATCTCCGACCGCGCCGCGTCGCTCATCGACGAGCGCGCCGAAGCCGGGGCGCGCGGCAAGCGGGCCGAAGAGAGACGCGTGAACTACGTTGTGATGCTCGGCGAAGACGGACAGGGCGGAGTGGCTGGAAGGCCTCCTGGCGACGGGCGATTGGGGCCGCGTGCGAAGGTTGCGCAGAGCGGCTGGGCGGATGCGCGGCAAGGTCCGCGACCTTCCCTGCGACCTGGTGGGCCCCGAGGCCCGCGCAGACGCGCTGTCAGATTTCCTGACGAAGGTGCAGTGGATAGAGCGGGAAACCGCGCCAGCGTTGACGACTTCCTTTGGCCCCGACTTGCCGGCGAACCCGGGGCAGATCGAGGGCCGGGGGGTGGCCGAGGCAGCCGAATGCATGCAGTGGGGCAAGGCGCGCGGCAGCGACGGGCGACGGCATCCCTGGCGATTTCTGGAAAGCGGTCTGCGCCGGCGACGCCCTGGCGAGAGCTTGGGCCTTTGCGTTGTGCCGCCGATGCTGGGAACATCGCGCCGCGCCAGAATCTGGGTACATTTCCTTTGCGATTGCTTTTATTCGAGAGGGGGGGCGCCGTGCATTTCGGCAACTACAGGCTCGCGTGCCTCCCCCGGGCCAGGCGCGAGCTGTTTGCGTCTATCTTTTTCCGCCGCTCGAAGGATGCCAGCGCCGAGGGCCGCGTCTCGGGCGCCCAGTTTGGCTTCGAATCGCGCCGCTGCGCCACGGGCGCCATTTTCCTCGCCGGGCGACGGCTGGAAGAGACGTGGGCGGGGGCGGGCGCGGAGGGCCAGCTCGTGCTTCTCGCTTTGGACTGGGCCGAGGCGTTTGGCAGCGTCATGCCGGCGCCTCTGCTGGAAGCACTGCGGCGCTTCGGAGTCCCGGAGGAAATGCGGGGGGCGATTCAAGCCATCGATCTGCGCGCGCAGGACGTTCTCGGTGCGCGGCGCCGGCGTGGCGTCCAGGGCCCAGGAGCAGCGCTCGGGAATATGTCGAGGTTGCCCGCTCCCCTCTTTCCTCTTTGCCATGTTCCATGGTGATGGCTGTGCTGTTGCGCGACGCCAGGGGCGCGCTGGGTGACCGCGTGGGAGACGCAGAGGAGCTAGTGACACCCTTATCTTGGCCTCGAGCGTGGAGCGTGCGCAGACGTGCATGACGGCTATCGCTGCCGCTGGCGCTAACTACGGCCTCAAGTTCAAGTGGGCCAAGCTCGAGCAGCTGTCAATCCGGTGTCAGGGGGCACGTGTCGTGTCTGGACGGCGCCCAGATCCTGGAAAAGGATTTCATGGTATACTTGGGAAGTGCATTGGCGGCCGATGGATCGATCGTTTCCGAGCTGAGCAGGCGCCTCGGTTGCGCCAGGTCCGAGTTCGGCATTCTAGCTCGAGTCTGGTCCCACTCAACCCTCACTGTGGAGCGGAAGTTGCACATCTTCGAAGAAGCACGAGTTGGCTAACATCGACAGTTTCCATGTGCGTTGCTTGAGGAAGACATCAGGGATACCACATCCATGCAGTAGTCGCATTTCGAACGCTGTAGCTCTGCACAGGGCCCGTCGGCCACCCTTGGGTCGCATCTTGTTGCATCGCCAATTCTGTCTTTTCGCGCAGATTGCCCGTCACCCAGACGAGCATCCAGTGCGGCGCGCGGTCTTCCAGCCATCTTCTTCGATCCTGCGTGCGCCGGGTGGCAGACGATCCCGTCAAGGCCGAAACAGTCTTGGTCAAATGAACTGTACAAGCATGTGAAGAGAATCTGTGATAGCAGTGCGTATGACGTTCACCATTTCGCGGCAATCCCAGCTGAAGACTGGAAATCCGCCGTGCGGCGCTACTGCCCATGGCTTTGCATCACTGCCCATGTGTTTTGACAGCCGGCTTGCATTCATTAACTACGGCCAGTGCCGCCGACCCTGAAGACGACGAACATGACATCGAGCGGGGGGTGGTAGGAGGCGGAGGAGGAGGAGGAGTGGGGAGGAACAGGGAGGGTGTAGGAGGCGGATGAGGGAGGATGGGGGGGAGGAGGAGGAGGAGGAGGAGGAGGAGGAGGAGGAGGAGGAGGAGGAGGAGGAGGAGAGGAGGAGGAGGAGGAGGAGAGGAGGAGGAGGAGGAGGAGGAGGAGGAGGAGGAGGAGGAGGAGGAGGAGGAGGAGGAGGAGGAGGAGGAGGAGGAGAGGAGGAGGAGGAGGAGGAGGAGGAGGAGGAGGAGGAGGAGGAGGAGGAGGAGGAGGAGGAGGAGGAGGAGAGGAGGAGGAGGAGGAGGAGGAGGAGGAGGAGGAGGGAGGAGGAGGAGGAGAGGAGGAGGAGGAGGAGGAGGAGGAGGAGGAGGAGGAGGAGGAGGAGGAGGAGGAGGAGGAGGAGGAGGAGGAGGAGGAGGAGGAGGAGGAGGAGGAGGAGGAGGAGGGAGGAGGAGGAGGAGGGAGGGAGGAGGAGGAGGAGGAGGAGGAGGAGGAGGAGGAGGAGGAGGAGGAGGAGGAGGAGGAAGCGAGAGGAATGCGGAGGATGATGAGGAAGAGGAGGAGGAAAATGAGGAGGAGGAGGACGACTAGCAGGAGGAGGAGGAGGAGGAGGAGGAGGAGGAGGAGGAGGAGGAGGATGAGTGGGGGAGCAGCGAGAGGAAGCGAGTGGGAGCAACCAAATCTGGAGGTCCCGGCTCTCGACGGAAATGGGAGGGAGAGGGCGGGGGCAACCTTTCCGAAACCCAATGAATATGGCCTTTCCGGGCCTTCCTGAGAGTTCTTATGGGGCTCTTTTGACGCAACTGAGAGCCCCCTTTGGCCGTCCTTAGGCGTTCTTGGGCTGTCTTGTGGGGCTTGGGCCGACTACGGGCGCTCTTCCAGATCCGTCGTGGCGACCCCCCCCTCCTCCAGCGATTCCTCCGAAATCCCAGCCGCATACCAATCCCACGTATCCTCAAGAGGTCCTGCAGGGATCGTTTTCTGGCGCCCCACTTTCTCTCGTCCGCTCGACTGGCGCCCCTTTCTTGCCATGCTCTCTCCCCCCGTGCTCGCCCCCCCTTGCTCCCTTCCCCATCCCCCCTCCGCTCCCCTCCCCCATGCCCTCCCGTCTCCGCGCTGCCCCGACACCCCCCCCTCTCCTCCCTGGTTCTTCCCTGCCGCCCCCCCGCATTTCTGACGCCCCGCTTCCCTTCGCCCGCGGGGCTCGCGCGCGCGGCGCACGAATCGAGGACGACGACGACGATGACGACGACGACGAAAACAAAAACGACGACGACGAGGACGAGGACGGGGACGACGACGACGAGGAGGACGACGACCGCACTACCAGCGCCCTGCCCCCCCATCGCAGCCGACGCGCCCACGGCGAGCAACCTGGCGAGCCCGGCCTTTGGACCAGCCGCTGCGCCAGCGGTGGCCGCGGCCGCGGTTGCGGCCGAGCTGCAGGGCCTGGAGGCCAGGAGGGATCAGGGGCGTTCTCGTCGTCGTCGTCGTCGTCGTCGTCGTCGTCGTCACCCTGCCTCCTCCTGCCTTCTCCGCCCCTCCTCATCATCATCATCGTCGTCCTTCTCCTCCTCCTCCTCCTCCTCCTCCTCCTGGCGACGAACTCGTCCACACCCGTGCCCTCGCGGGCTGGACACCGGGGCGCGGTCCCATGGATACGTCCCGCGCAGGGCATCCGCACGGGGAAATGAGAAGGAGAAGGCATTCTCAGAAGGCGGCTGGACTTCTCAGATACCCTCGCGCCTTCTGAGAGGTTATTTGTGTTTTCTGGGAAGGCTCAGACACCTTCTCAAAAGGCTGGGGACTTCCGAGCCTTCTGAGCAGGCCTTCTCCTTCTCACTCCCCCCCTGGGCTCGCCACCGAGTCTGAGCCGTGGGTGCGGATGCGCTCCCCGCCCACCAGGGAGCATGGAAAGGGCGGGCGGGCGGCGCGCGCGGGAGGGCCAGGCGCAGAGGGGTGCGGTAGGTTCGCGTCGTGTCGACCGGGGGCGATCCTGCCGCCAGCGTTCGACGTTGAGCGCCGCCGGCGACCCAGAATCTGTCGATGTTCACCGAACGCGCTCCACTGCTCGCAAAGTGCCTACTCGCAAACTGTCCGATAGAACACATACGTGCTTCGATGTGATGGATCGTGGATCGTGAGTCTCCCGCGGCGGATGAAGGCCGCTTGCGAGTGCTTCCCCTTGCGAGTAGTGGAGCGCGCCTGTCCAGATGTCGAACGTTCAGACGGTTTCGGAAACGGCCGACCGTTCAAGGTGGAAGCATCCCCGCGGCGTCAGGAGCCGACGCCGAGGCCTCCCCGCCTTCGAGAAGGCTTCTCGGATCTCGGACGCCTCCCGCTCCCCTCTGCGGGGCACCCCGAGCTCTTCCTGGAAGGCCGCTCCCCTCGCCCCGCTCCCGGGGCTGCGCGCCTGCGGGGGAGGGGCGGGGAGGGCAGGCCGGGTGGGGGGCGGGGCCCGCGGAGACGGAGGGGCGCCTGGGGTGAAGGCGGGGAAGGGGGGGGGGGGACAAACGCAAGTTCGGCGGCGCGCCAGGAAGGGGGGTCAGGTGGGGGGGGGGGAGGTGGGCTCGGAGGTGGAGGGGCGCCTGGGGGGGAAGGCGGGGGGGGGGGACAACCACAAGTTCGGCGGCGCGCCAGGCGAGTAAGCAAGAGGGGGGGGGGGGGGGCCTCAGAGATGGATGTGGGCGCCTGGAGGGAAGGCGGGGGTAGGGGGGGGGGGGGGGCGCAACGACAAGTTTGGCGGCGCGTCAGGGGGGGAGGGGTACGTGAGGGGGGGGCAGGCCTTCTCGGAAGGCGGCAGGGCTTCTCAGAAGCCTTCCGCCTGGCCTTCTGAGAAGCCCTCTGCGTCTTCGGAGAAGGCTTGAAGAACTTCTCAGAAGCAGACGTTCCGCCCCCTCAGCCTTCGCCCTGGGCGCGCCGCCGACAAGTGCAAATTGCACAACGCCTGCACGCTCACCACGTGTTTGCTGCGAAATGCGTGGTTGGAGCCGCCGAGAAATGAGGGGCGGGGAGGGATGGGGCCCACAGGACGAGGGGCCTCAAGCAGTGCAAGCCATACCTGGGATCCCTCCTTACCCGTCGGGCTCCCGAATTCCCTTCCTCCCCAAACCTGGGATTCCTTCCTTCCCAAACCTGAGATCCTTT